CTGTCTGTCTGTGCCTACATCCTTCCTGTCTGTCTGTTCCCACACCCTGCCTGCCTGCCTGTCTCTCCTTCCTCTGTAAATGGCACGTCATCTCTCATGTGTTACAGGTAACGGGGGCAGCCATCTCTTCTGCCCCGGGAAGAAAGAGGGACCAGAGGTGGGGGCAACAACTGGAGAGTGCGTGCTGGGGGGGCCGGGGCACGCAGGCAGCCAGCCAGGAGATGCACATTTTACGGCTGTCTGTGAGCATGCCACGCCGGACCTCTGTCTCCATGGCAACCAGCACCATGACACAAGGTAACACAACAGCAGTGATACATGATGATGTGTTTGCCAGGGCTGATTAGTAACATTTACACAGAGTAAATAGGTTTTATTTTTGTTAAGCATCTCCAAAGTGCAGCCCCCACCAGGATTAGCTGGCCGGCCAGGACAGTGTTTTATTGTGTCCAGAGATTATGCAGGAAGCTGGCCTGAAATAAATTATCAAATGTATGTCTAATACAGGCTGTCCAGGTCTCTACTCTATGACTTGATTAAATTTGACACTGTTAAAGAAAGTCTAACTAGATAAATAGCGGTACTGAAAATTGCCAGATTTTGTTTGAACATGCAGGCTTGTATGATTCATAAAGGATTCTTCCTGGAAGTGGCTCAGTGGGCTGATCTGGATATGGCTGCAGTGGGGTTTCCCTGCAGTTTCACTTTATCATACCATCGTCTGTAGACTGACAGGGTGGCGGTAGGCTGGTGGGGCGTCTGTAACCTGACAGGGTGACCATAGGCTGCCGGGGCGTCTGTACTCTCCTCCGTCATGCCGCCCCATTTTACAGTGACCTGTTGCTGCCCCGTCAGCTGTGGTGGAGAGCTGGAAGAAGGTGATCCTTTCATGCACAGAGAAGAATAGAGGGGCCATCTCAGATCTCATGGGAGTCTTATGCTAAATCTATAATGAGGGAACTGACAGGAATTATTATGGGAAAGATCACAGCAGTGCATGGGGAAATATGAACTCCTTCCCATTCATACTGGGAAGATTCCCACAATAATAGTGAGCTTTGTGCATGCAGCACACGAGGGCCAGGCGCAAGGGGCTTCCTCAGGCCTTCACGGCAGTCTCTCTTTCACATATCGCCCTTAGCTTGCCGGCTCTTTCTGAAATATCTTTTTAAATGTGTAACTCCAAACCAGCACAACATCACCCTAATCGAATACGATTATTTATTACCTCATCATCCGTAATTTAGAGCCTGTACGCTTTGGAGGGGGGGGGACAGCCCCGCCATTCGCCTTCCTCATGCAGCTTTGCGCTGTGGTGCATTGAGACCCGGCTGACGGTCGCCATGTTTCGCCCAATGATTTCTGTCTCAGGTAGCGGGTTGCCCCGGCACAGCTCCCGTCCATTGTCAGTGGGCCGTTCACACTCCTTCACTCCTTGCCTAATTCCCCCCTCTGTCCCGCAGGTCCTCCGGCTTCCCGGGAGCATTCCTAGCACTGGGGGTCAGCCGGCCGCTGCAGCACATCAAACAGGAGCGGTACAAGCCCGCGCTGGGGGTTCCATCCGGCTCCGAACTCGTCCCCTGCGCTGAGGGGGCGGGGACAGGTGGGGGCCTCGTCCCTTCCAAGGGCACACTGTCATCCTGCTCGTTTAATAATGAAGGCTGCCCCTCCCCTGGGTCTCTGTCCCCCGCCCATCAGTCGGCGCGGGCTCAGCATGCCGGCGGCCTGAGGAGGCGGGGCCTGTCGGCGGCCCCGGTCAGTGGCACTGCTACGGAAGGGATCGATATCACCGCCATCATCTGCTCGCCGCAGATGTCCGTGGTGGCGCGCGTCAACGGCCTGAGGACTGGCTCCCCTGGCCACCCGCCCCCACTCAGCCCACGGCCCCGCTCGCCGGCCCCCTGCTTGCTCTCCTTCTGCTCCACCTCCTCTTCCTCATCCTCCTTGTCGGCGGAGCCCGGCGACCCAGAGCGGAGTCTCAGCGAGGGCCGGGGCCCCATGCAGCCGCCGCCGCGCCCCCCTCCCCTGGCAGCGGCCGAGCCGGCTGAAGGCCTCGGCTTCCTACGGCCGGACGTGCAGCCGGGGCTCCTGGCGAGCTGCCAGCGTGGCGGCGGCTCCCTGAAACAGGAGCCCAACGATGAGCTCTCACCGGCAGAAGACGAACTGTATCTGCCACCGCCGCCCAGCCTCCCCCCGCCATACCACCTGCACCAGTACTTCAGTCCAGGCATGGGCTCCCTGCTGCCAGTATCTGCCGTGCTGCCGGCCAAGGCCCCTGGCCCCGTCGGAGCTCCGGACAGTGAGGAGGACGCCGGCGCCCCTGGGGACCGGCAGGCTTGCCGATGGATCGACTGCAGCGCCGCCTACGGCCAGCAGGAGGAGCTGGTGAGGCACATCGAAAAAGTGCACATCGACCAGCGCAAGGGCGAGGACTTCACCTGCTTCTGGGCTGGCTGTGTGCGCCGCTACAAGCCGTTCAATGCCCGCTACAAGCTGCTGATCCACATGCGGGTCCACTCCGGGGAGAAGCCCAACAAGTGCATGGTGAGCCTCGTCTTTCATCAATCAGGGGGTGTCGTGATTAAAGCCGAGCCTCTGAGCTTTGCTGGGGTGGCGTTCAGCTGTGTTAACTGTGACATATAAAATGTAAAGATTTTGGAGATGCTAGAGTGTAACTTTGGAGCCCATTAAGAAAAGCAAGGTCAGATGTCTGGTAGCTGGTCAGAACACACTTAAGAAAAGCTCTGTTACCTTTTTAGCAAACTTAGAAAGGGGTGAGTCAGCAGATTGACACACTCAGAAAGGGGGAAGCGAACTGATCCCCAGAGTTGTGCAGATTTCACACAGTGTGTGGATAGAGCCCGACCTGGGGACCTGACTCGCTTTTAATTTTAGCCTCATGCTCAGAGGTGGACATTTCAGGTCCAGAAAGTAAAAATCCAGACCAAGATTTTGCTTCAACCAACCAATTTAACAAAAACAGTCACTGTCACAGAGTACTCACTTAGTTGGTTGAAGCAAAATCTTGGTCTGGACTAATACTGTCTGGACCTGTAATGTCCACCTCTGTTCATGTTCCTAGTGCAGTGTGGCTGCTAGCTTTAGCGTCATGTTCCCAGTGCAGTGTAGCTGCTAGCTTTAGCGTCATGCTCCCAGTGCAGTGTAGCTGCTAGCTTTAGCCTTATGCTCCCAGTGCAGTGTAGCTGCTAGCTTTAGCCTTATGCTCCCAGTGCAGTATGGCTGTTAATGTCAGTGTTACGTGCCCAGTACAGTGTGGCTGTCAGTGTTACGTGCCCAGTACAGTGTGGCTGTCAGTGTTACGTGCCCAGTACAGTGTGGCTGTCAGTGTTAGCCTCGTGCTCCCAGTGTGTACACTCAGGGCAGCACCTGTAAGCTTTACTTTTGTTGGCACCTGTAAGCTTTACTTTTTCAGCCAGATGACGTCACAGACACGTAGCACGTGTTCTAATCTGTAATCATAAGAAAGGGTCAGATGATCAGATTCCCAATCAAGCAGCAAGTAGCCACACAGGTTTTGTCGTATTTCACTCTCAAGCAGTCAGTGTTCTTTGGCCGGAAATCACGGGTCACTGTGTGCTTCAAAAATGTTAGAAGTCCGGTGATTCAAGTCAAATATTATTGCGCATGGCGTACTGCAGGAAAGGGGAGCCTGCTGTTTATTTTGTCTTGCCTCTCTGTGTTACGTAGAATTGATTTACATGCTAAGGAGTGCGGCTCAGAGAGGCACATGTGGTTAACATAAACCAATGATGACTTGCTCAGACTGGACATCTTTGCACGCTTTGCCGTCCCATGAGGGTTTGCACTCTCACTCTGAGAGCTACGCACGCACTCTGTCAGAAAACCCATCTCACTCTGAAAGCTATGCGCTCACTCTGTCTGAAAACCCGTCTCACTCGGAGAGCTATGCGCTCACTCTGTTAGAAAACCTGTCTCACTCTTCTTTGAGGGATTTATTGATTATGCCTGGGAAGATCTTCACAGATGCATAAATCCACAGAAAACCGCGGGATAAATGTTCAGATAACTAACGTACGAGCAGATGAGGTATGTTTGTGGCTCGGAGGACATCCTGCATTGCAATGGTGATGCGTGTGGAGCATGAGGTGTCCAGCCTGCATCTTCTCTGAATACCAGTGGTTGTCTGAGGGTATTTATGAACACAGCTGACCCCTTCTTTACATTATGCAGTGCCCAGTGTGTTTGTGTGGCTACATCAAATACAGCCCATTGCCCTTTGGCTACAAGCAGGTATGAATTCCCAGTGATTGGCCTTGAACTGAGCCCATGCACTGCAATTGGCTGGGAGTAGAGCCCATGCCTCTGTGACTGGCCAAGATTTGACCACAGGCTAGAGCCAGATGCTTCTTTAGGAGAGGTTCTGTCTTGCGGCTTTTGTCGCTGTTTGCAGTTCCAGGACGCAGGTTGGGGTTGGGGGCAGGGGAGGGGTTGGAGCTGTCCGTGGTGGCACACATGCTGTTTCACACACCAAAGGCCCATGCAACATCGGTGAGCAGTACACTCTCCGTTGCCGGCTGTGTTCTTGATGCTTCCCTGGGGACATTCCCAGTTCCTATGCGTTCCCAGTGCATTCCTGATGCATTCTTGGAACATTCCTGGCGAGATCCCAGTGAGTTTCTAGCGAGATCCTAGTAAGTTCCCGGTGTGTTCCCAGTGATGCCCGGATGTGTTCTCTGGGCATTCGTGGCAACATCCCAGTGTGTTCCTGGGGTTCCTGATGAGTTCTCAGTCAGTCTCCGTGCATTTCCAAGTATGTTCCCAGAGTGTCCCCATTGAGTTCCTGGTGCATTCTCAGTGCATTACCATTCAGTTTCCGGTGTGTTCCCTGTGAGTTCCTGGTGCATACTCAGTCCTGTGAGCTCTTGGTACGTTCCCTGTGAGTTCCTGCCGCATACTGTGAGTTCCCAGTGCGTTCTTAGTGCATTCCCCGTGTGTTCCCGGTGACTTCCCCGTGTCTTCCTGGTGTGTTCCCAGTGAGCAGAGGCAGACCGTGTCTGTCTATGTGTGAGTGTGTTTGGGAGAGAGTCCTCAGGCTGCTTTGTCGATACACATAGGCGCTTTGGAATGCCAGCTATTCACTGACAGGAAGTGGATGAGACGTCTTGATTTAAAGGCGAGCGCTGAACACAAAGCCAGTTAAGCTCTTTAGTATCCGTCCAGCAGCAGTTTCCACTGTCCTTATGAGGTAAGCCTGCCCACATCCAAACATAACACTCCCCTAGCACAGCTGGCCTGCATTTGCTGCACACTCAGCCTTGGCAGGAAAATCTCATTATCAGCCACAGAGTGCTATTGGCCAATCGGCTGTCACTGACTCTACCTGTGTGCCGAGGGCCGCCACGAAACCACAACATCTGTAAACATTAAAAGGCATTTTCTATTGACTTCCAATTAATGTTCGCATAAGTTAAACTGCTTTTATGGGCTCTGCCGAAGGCAGGGCAAGCACTTAACGGGAAACGACATAATCTCTCTGCAATATCCTGTTGTGTTTCGTACTGAATTCGACTGTTGTTTTAGTTTATTACACTCTGCCTTTGTCTAGATTAATATTAAAAATATATCCAACAAAAATATCCCTGTCATAGTCCAGAGGCTTTCATATCTCTGGGGTCCATGTAAGGCAATTTTGTGGATTTGATGTCTCAGACATTTAAAATCTGTAACCTGAAGTTTATATAAATAGCAGTCAAATAATGTGGCCACTTTTCTACATAGAATTTGCATAAGTCGCCCCCCATGGAGAAACTTGACGAGGCTGTTTTCAGGGAGAGCTGCGGGAACTTGCGAATTGAACGGGGGGTGTTAAGGCAAATGATTCTGTACCATGTGATCGTTACATTTGGAAATGTGTTCAAAGTAGAACTTTGAAATGATGCTACTTTACATTGAGAACTGTCAGACATCCCGTTGTTGACGATGCTAATCTGGGGGGCAGGGCTGTAACCCTGCAGAGAACATGAACCATGAGCGTTTTGGGTTAATTAAAGCTGAGTGCTGCTCTCCAAGCAATTTTATGGCAGTCAGTGTTAAATGCATGCACTGTTAAATGCATGTTGAATGCATGCAGAATTGTGTGCAGGCAGTGTGTTAAGCGCAGGCAGTGTGCCTGCTTGTGACTCATATTAGTTTGTTTGTGATGCCGTGCAAACGCCCCTCAGGCCTCACAGACAGACCTGCACGTGTCCGTTCACTGTGTGCGACCAGCCGCCACGTCAAAATGCTACAGCTCCCTGCTTCTGTGTAGGTCTGTTTGGAGCAGAGGGAATGTGCCAGAAAACCTACTCAGACATGCAGGAAATGAGCAGTGATCCGGCAGCGACTGAGAGCACAACATTCCCTCCCTGAGTGACTGAGACAGCCGGCACCTGCTCTGAGTGACAGCGCTTCCTGTGGCAGCCGTATGCAAATGAGCAGCCAACGCCTGGAAACTGAGAGTAACGGCGAAGAATAGGCAGGCAGGACAGAGTGGGGCCAGCGCAGGGCCCGTTCAGGGCCGTCACCATCGATTACGGCTCTCATTAAGGGCTGCCGACGAGGCAGCAAATCTGGCAGCAAGGCAGCTGCTCCAGGAGCCCATAGTCGCTACCGATTAGCGAAACTACACCGTTCTCCCTTCACCTGCGAGGATGTTGGCGCCCCCTGGGGGATATCGTGGAGAACAAAATGGATTCCCAAAATGTAACTAATCCACAAGGTTTCATACATCATCAAAGGCCTCAGAGGAGGCTTTATGTCAGCCGGTGAACATGTTGTCCAGCTCCACATTACCTTCTCCGTCCCTTTCCGTACCTGAATTCACATTTCTGCCGTGTGCCTGAGGCTTGTCGTATATAAATGCTGACCATATGTGCTTATTACACACGTAAAAATGATGAAATGGCTGGCAGGGACTGTCTGACAATTGTCAGAAGACTGATGTTTTGGCAGCAGCAGGAGAAGCTTGTGAATGTGTGCAGCTTTGCTTGTTTTTCTTGTTGAGGAGGTCGAGCCAAGATCTTGTCAGGCTGTCCGTGTTATCCAGTCAATCTCTGCGTAACGCGATCCAGCCGTGCTGCCCCTGCTCCGGACCCTGGCCTCGCATTCGCTTGGGATTCTTTTTGCATCTGAGGCAAATTTGCATCCAACTGCAGCGTTTTTAATTACTGCCGTGATAAAGGCGTCCGTAATGCTGCCAGGCTGGGTTCACTTGTTCATTCATAATAATGTTTCGGCTTGTTCTCTGTGACTTTCAGATGAATCTGACAGATATAATTAAATGTATGATGTGGGCTGAGGATTTCACTAAGGGCCCCACACACCATACACATGGGGCCCCGGGACACCTTCACGCACATGGGGCCCCCAGGACACCATCATGCATGTGGAGTCCCCGGACTCCTTCACATAGGCATGGGGCCCCAGGACACCTTCATGTGTGCAGGGCCCCAGGACTCCACAGACTGGGTGAAGAGAAATGCTGGAATTTGCTGAGTCCTGCCTGCATGGTCATTCCTCACAGG